CTGTAAGCATCAGAGCCTCAATTGTAGAATTTGCAGTAATAAAGACTAAAATAGAGTCAGTAACTAAAATCGGAGGAGCTAAGATCACGGAGGGAGGCAAAGAGAAAAAGCCAGCACCTTGTGAAATACACAAAGTTAAGGCTTAAAGAATCTGTATCTCAGGCAACTTCATTAATTCTGTGCCTAGCACAGTAACTATACAGAGTGGGTGCTGGTGGAAAGGAACTAAGAGGAAGGGTGGAGAAATAGGTTCTGTGATAATAACACTCCATAATAAACAAGTCCCAAATCTTAGTGGCTCCCTATGGAAACTCCCTCAGCCCTCCCCAACCCACCCCCAAGATAAATACAAAGGTCAGCTGGGTCAGTAGCTCTGTTTTAGGCTAGGAGTCGGGTTCAGGTCTGGCCCATATGTCTCTCATTCAAGGACGAAGTCCATGTGTTTCTCGTTCAAGAATGAAGGTGAATGAGCAATGCTTATTTGCCCGTTCTTTAACATGAAACTCAAACTTAACTGAGAATCTTGCATTTGAACTGACAACCCTATATTGGTGTCATAAATAAGTAAAATGTGACTTATGGGAGGCAGGATTGAAAAGACACTTTTGAAGAGCCTGTTGATAAGGGAAGGAGAGTGACAAACTGGAAGGCATACAAACTTTATTTAATAAGATTTTTCTACCAGAGGGTGTATTCCATAGGTGTCTCTGATCTCTCTCACTGACCAGATAGAGAGAGGGAAAGTGAGAAACCACCCCCCAGGGGGATGACCATGCCATATGCCTTTCTCCTCCATTCTCCTCTCAGGATTTTGGGAATGCACACACACATGCCCAGTGTGACTTTCAAGATGCTGGGTCCGGGACTTGAACTGTGGTTGGCCATGTGGGAGTCCAGTGCCTTAGCCACTCCACCTGTGGGTCTCGGAAGCTCTATAAACTTAGTAAGATAAGATATCTAATAGCAGTGAGGAACTGATCCATGTACCAGAGATCATGTGTTCGCATGGTGTGTGTGTGGGGAGGAGATAACGTTTCCCATTATGAGAGCTAATGTGAGAAAGGAAGCCTCTTCAGAAGTAATTGGTCACAGTGACACTAGAGCTTCTCTTTGTTGTGATTAAGAACAGTAACAACAAAGACTTGGTTTCAAGCTATTTGTCTAGAGTAACCTAAACTAGCTAGTTAGTGGGATGCCGACTCCTGAAACTGACCGTGTCATGGCTGCGGTACTGATAAGTCAGTTTACGGGTGAGAGATGTGAAGGCCTGTGTCTGTTGTGCTCTTTCTGGCTACCTGAGCTCAGGATGGAAGTACGACATTGGATGTGGCAGTTGTGCAAGGGGCTGAGGGCTTCCAGGCTCCTCAGAAAAGAAAGGATACTGCATATATATGAAGAGTCATAGAATCTGTTGTGTAAATAACTGAGAGGCTAATGGAAAGACACTGGCAGGACTGAAAACCTTTATGAAGCTAGGAATGAGTCCCAATCAATTCATCCCTAAAATGCAGGTTATTGTGACTAATTCAAAGCTTAGAGGCACTGCTATACAGGGGTACGCAGTTGGGTGGGAGTACTGGAAAGATAATTTTAACTTAGAACCACAAGATAAGCCTGGGATTTAGCTAGAGAAAACTGTGTTGTCTCCTTCATCCATAGCGTCCCTTCATATGATATATTCTTGAAGTTTGGTGATCAAATGGTAGGTAGCCAGAGGACGTAGGGGGGAGAATTGGAGGAGAAAACCTTAGAAAGAGGGTTCAGCGCATGGAGGAGTCTGTCTGCCCCTTTCCCTATCTCCTGGCCCTCAGGGAATGGGAGAGTCACTCAGGCACCATGTGGGACAATAAGCTGACCTGGAGCTGCCTAAAGGCAGAAGAATGAGTTGGCTTAGACTCATCTCTCACCTGATGCGCTTCATTCTTTAAGCTCTATCTCAACACTCAGTGGTTAGTGGGCAGACTCTTGGATTGGTCACACCTTGGTTCCTACCTCAGCTTAGCCCATGAATAGCTCTGTGACACTGGCTTATGGCTTAGTCCCTTCTCCATTATCCTCCTGGGGTTTTGGGCATGCATGAACGCTTATGGCTTAGCATCTCTAAGCTGAAGATAGTCAGATACAATAAAGGGTCCTAAGAAACTTATCTTGTAGCACTATTATGAGATTTAAATAGACCTCGTGGCCTTTTGTATACAAATCAAATATATGTTATTGTAGTTATTTCTTTATATATAACGATTTCTTTTTTTTTTTTTTGGAGAGATTTTCACTGTAGGGCGCGTGCGCTCGCCACACAGAGAGAGACATAGAGACAGAAAGCGAGAAATCACCCCCCAGGGGGGATGGTCACGCCGCAATCTCCTCTCCTCCATTCTCCTCTCGGGATCTTGGGCACGCACACACACGCGCCCGGCGTGAGTTTTAAGCCACTGGGTCCGGGACATGAACCGCGGTCGACTACGTGGGAGTCCAGCGACATAGCCATTAAGCTAACTGCTGGTTCCTATATAACGATTTCTTTAAATAGACAGAAAACACCATTAAGAGAGATCCATTTTCCCCTCATTTTTAGTCTAAGTATTTAACTTAGTATCTATTGCTAAACAAACCATTTAACAGTATTGGTTACATATAATTAGATGATACATCTCAGGCTGGGATTTCAAGAAGTAAGTTGTCAGAGTCAGTGAAAAACGTGGAAGACAAGTGAAAATGCTTTTCCTCAGGTTACCTGTCCAACACTGTGACCCCACAACCCTAACACCATGTAGCCTTCTGATTTGAAGTTGCTGCTTGCTGTCTCTGGGTACCTGGCACATCAGTGGCAGATATGTTCCCTACTCTCCCCTAGTTATGTGCTATCTTTCTTTAAAATTAATTTTTTAATTACATTTAATCATTGAACATCTTTTTCAAAATTTACTTTTAAGAAGTTTCTGCCTTAGGGAACATACACTTGCAGAAGAGACAGAGAGAGGCAGTGAGTGTGAAAGTGAGAAATCATCCTACCCCCTGGGGGGGATGGCCACTCCACAATCCATTCTCCTCCATTCTCTTCCCAGGATCTTGGTCACACATACACATGTGTGCCTGGTGTGAGTTTCAAGCCACTGGGTCTGGGACTCAAACTGTGCTTGGCCACATGGACGTCCAGCGATGTAACTGCTATACCACCTGCTGGACCCAATCACTGAACATCTTTACATTTCTCCCAGTACGAATATGGTACAGATTATTTAAGTCAAGACATTACTGTATACATTATCCTTGACAGATTTTTTTTAAATGTTTTGTCTTTTCCTGGTCCCCTTTGTCCCACTCCATTTTACCTACCCCCTTTTATATTGTCTTAGGTATCTCTGTGGCCTCCCTGCTATTAAACATTCCAGAGTTTAATAAGAGTTTCTCTCTCTCTCTTTTTTTTTTTTTCTTTCGCTATAGGGCACATGTGCTTGCCAGTCAGACAAAGAGGGACAGAAAGTGAAAAATCACACCCCAGGGGGATGGCCACACCACAATCCCTTCTCTCCCATTCTCCTCTCAGGATCTTGGGCATGCACGCACATGCACCTGGCATGAGTTTCAAGCCGCTGGACCTGGGACTTAAACTGCAGTGAAGTATATGGGAGTCTAGTGACATAACCATTATGCCATCTGCTGGTCCCTCTGTCTTTCTGTTTCTGCTATAGTGAGGAGACATTCGGTATACATTAAGCAGGGATATACAATACCTGTCTTTCATAGTCTGGCTAAGAGTTAAAAACTCTTAGGGAGTTGAAATGAGATCTCAACAGGTATTTTATTTATTTTGAAGAGGTTTTTGTCTTAGGGCATGTGTGCTCATGAGAGAGAGAGAGAGAGAGAGAGAGAGAAAGAGAGAGAGAGAGAAGGAAAGTGGGAAATCACCCCCCAGGCCACACCCCAATCCCTTCTCCAACATTCTCCTTACTGGATCTTGGGCACGAATGCAAATGTGCCCAGCATGATTTTCAAACCACTGAATCTAAGACAAGAACCACACTTGGCCATGTGGGAGTCCAGCAATGTAACCACTATGCTATCTGCTGGCCCCCTCAACTGTTATTTTTACTACAATATAATGTGAAATTAGGGTTTACCAAGTGTTTTGTGAGGAAGCAAATACATACATATACCTTTAGAGAAGAAAAAAAAATCATAAAATTAAATGAAGAAAGTGAATGATTTGTTGTTTTCTTTTTAAAGGTTTTTGCCATGTGAGAGCACATGTGCTCACTGGAGCAATGCAGGGAGAAGGAAAGAGGAATGGTCACACCGCAGTCCCTTCTCCATTATCCTCCTGGGGTTTTGGGCATGCATGAACGCATACCCAGTGTGATTTCTGAAGCCATCAGGTCCTGAATTTGAACTGAGGTGGGCCATGTGGGAGTCCGGCCGGCCCCGAATAATTTCTCTTTTAACGTCATTACTTTGAGAGACTTTCTATCTATATTTGAAGATATGTTAAGAGCTTGTTGAAGATGATGCAAAGTAAACGTATTGCTTGTTGAACTGCGTTTAGACAGGTTTACTAATTAGAGGGCTTTAGAAGGAAACGATAGAAAGAGGGGACCAGATAGCATGACGAGAGACGCAGGAATCAATATTTTGATATGTCACATAACTTGAAACGATTTGGCAATTAGACAACAGAGTTGCCTTTTTTATTAGCACATTCAAACAGCAGCAGAAAAACAACCTTCCATTTGATTCTTACTGATTTATTGTTTTTTTATAATGCCACTTTTCAGAAGTATAGTCATGTGCTCACTTAGACAGGCTGACAAAAGTGAAATTTTGTATGTGATGCAAAGTACCCTTTGGGCCATAGATTAAGACATATATAGTGCAGTGACAAGTCAAGTCAAATGCCCACAGCAGACAACAAATCCCAGCCTCCCCTTCCCATGGTATGGCTCCCATTTTGCACCATAGAACCACAATGAAAATCTGGTAAAACATAGAACACAGATGGCTACTGACTGACATGAAAAGTAAATTTTATTAAACATGTTTACATACATGAGTTGGAAGTTCATTTAAAAGCACGGGGGCAGGGGGGTGTTAAGACAAGTGGTCAAAATAGAAAGATACTACCCAATTATAATCAGTTGATTGTTGGCCACTAAGACAGAACGGAATCTAGTAGAAGTGCACCAATGCTTCAGTTCTTTCTGCTCAGCTGAGTGAGCAGTGGTCAATCTGTGCCCTGTGGAATGATGGGCAGATAATTCTGGCATGTGTAAATAATAATAAATAATTCGCTTGGTGCAGGCAGTACGTCTATGGATTAAAACCTAGTGTGTACACAGTGTCTATATGTGTTACAGCCCCACAGTATGAATCTACACCAAAATGTTAATTAGAAGGAATTTGGTCCGTACTACATCACGTTTTCCGTAGGGTAAAAAATAAAGTCCATCTATAGACATTTCACTCCAGACTGAATCTGGCTAAAACCTGCAAAATGTCTATAACAAAAATGGATGGCTTAGATTTCTTGGTTATTTCAGTATAGTAATTAACAAGCAAACTGTACAAGTACATGCAACATACAAGCTGGCCTATGTGGAACTAACATACATTATTAAATAACCTTTTGTTTCTTTAATTTTTTTCTTTTCCTATTTTTTTTTTTTTTTACAAAATGTGCATGCAGCTTTGAACAGTTCCAAGTCATGCTGCTCTATTTGCGTAATCACAAAAGTTGAATGACTCATAAAAGGAGGGAGAACATATCAACGCACCTGCAGAGTCTGCAGTTCGTAGCACATACACAGAATGTCACAAGGGAAATTCAAGGCCAAGAAAAACTCAAATGAAGAAAATGCAAATTGAAATCTGACTTTGTTTTATTTTCTCCCAAAAAAGTAAGATACTTTGCATTAAAAAATCAAGCTTTGTGCTTGCATCAATCTCAAAGAAATGTAAACTAAAATTCGATAAAAACATTAGTTTAGTGCAGAATATTTCAACTGGAATTTCCAGTGGAATATTGAACAGCTCAGACCATGCTTTTTCCAGGGCAGATGGGTGTGTCTACACTGAGGCATGGCTGAGAAGCCTGGGCATAGCTCAAAGTGTCTTAGGCTCAAATCCATTCCTAGTCACCATTTTGGAAAGTCAAATGTACGTTTTAGACACATAAGCATATGTACTTTTTTTTTCTTTTTTCTTTTTCTTTCTTTTTTTAGTATCAGGAAGAAAAGGCATTACAAGAAGTGTTTCCAACATACAATTACGCAGTTAGTTTTAGTCCCCAGTATTAGCTGCAGATTGACTTCTTTAAAAAGCCCTCCATGCAAAACAATGGAGAACATAAATTAATTTTCTAAAATGCAAACGGATATGCTCTATATTTTAAAAGGTGATTCTGTAGTTATTTTGGAAGATTTTTTATTTTTTTGTCTTTTGAGTTTCCACACATAAGACTTTGAAGAATTAAAACATGAAAGCCAGTGAAACCCTTCATTGGCCTCACCTTATCTAGCTGTTGAACTTTGGGGAGATGCTACAGAGACTGCTTCAGCCCTTTTTTTGGTGCTTTTGGAAAAAGAAAGGAAGGGTCTCTGTTAGCATCATGAGGCCTGTCATGACACAGCCAAAAAAGTAGTGGACATAACAAATATGGTGAAAATGAAACAAATCGAAACTCGAGAAACCAAAAACCAACAAACAACATATAAAACCAAAACACACAAATGAACCTAACTTCTCAAACACCTGGGAAATAACACTGCTTGTGGTCTGTGCAGAAATGTGTAAAATACAACTTTTCACAGAGTGAGAGTTTCCAGTTTGTTCTATTTGGTGTGTGTGTGTGTGTGTGTGTGCACGCGCGTGTACTGAAGTTTCCTCTTTTTCTATTTGTTAGAAGCATCAGTGACTCTCACTAGCACATTGATTCTTACTGAATTTGATAGATTGCCTTGTTCTGTCATATGAAGCCATGTTTTAAACAACAATTGGGACATATTATTGAAAAACTACTACAGGCAAAACACGAGTTGATTGTCTGTCTCCAACAATGCTTTTGATCATGAAATATCTGGTTCAGATTATTATCCTGAAAGGTGGAGTTTTCTTGGAATGACTCTGGTATGAGTTCACTATGATCGAATGCAGGGAGGCCCAGTTGAACTTTCCAGAGATGATTGGGAAGCCCGGCGGGTTAAGGGAGTGAGTGTGGGATCCACCAGTGATGATGGTGGGAACAATTTGTACCATCCAATTACCATGCTGGACAGATCGAGTTCTTCCAACAAGATTTGAGCCACACCCATAAAGCATTTATGGTCCATTCTGCCATAATCTCCCCAGACAATCACCTGCAGAGAAAGAGAAATGCAATACAATATGAACTTCTCTCCCTTTCACATTTGAAATTTCAAGAAAAAACTCTTTAAAAGTCAGCCAGTCAGTGAAGGACAGAAAATGAAAATAACACACCAAGGAGGAAGGCATAGATAAGAATTACCAATATTAAAGTGCTCAGTGATTCTTCACATTGATTTTTAGATTTGAAAGCAAGCAAATAATTTTTCCATAGTCAATGAGAGGTATTACTTACATAAGTCATTTCAAGAGTAAACATATTAAATGTATTCATATATAAATTTAGCACCTTTCTTGTGTAACAGTTATGGAGGAAACAATGAGTATGGTCACAGAAATATAATAATTAGAATTTGAGTAACCTCAGAGAATAAATCAAACAATCCAACTCAGTGTACCATGCAGTGTGTGTATGAGGAGATAAATAAGAAGAATAAGGGTATCAGATTAATTTCATGACTTCTGTATTATGGACTTGGGAGGGAAAAGGCAGGTTGAAAAGTGTGAGCTGGGCCTTTTTGGAGACTTGCCTGACAATTTGGATTTGATCAGGTGATTAGTAAGTCAGTGTGATCGCTGATAATTACCACAATCTGGGTCAACTCTCATTGGTGCCAGTCAAACTTTCCATTACACATATTCCCAGGTTCTGTTTTCTAATCCTTCAGTTGACTGGAAAGGTCCTTGACTGAACTCATTCATCAGCTATACAGGAGCATGGGTGGTGAATCTTGACTTTTCAATTCGCTGAGAAACTCTGACAAATTCCTTAATCTCTTGATTCACAGGCATAATTTTTATAATTGACGTAATGATATTTATTGCACATGGTGGTTACGAAGTTTAACAGAAGTAATGTATGTAAGCTCCTAGCAATGCATCTGGTATTCAACCAGTCCTCAATATTTCCTGGGCCCTGTGAACTTTTTTCATTCTTTCTCTTTGCATCCCATGGCTGGTACACAGGAATGCTCAATGAACTATTATTAACATTGTTTACTTTGATCTATCTATCATCGCTATCTTATCTATCTATCTATATCTATCTATCATCTATATCTATTGAGGAGGGGGGACAGAAGGGATTGGGAAACAGGACAATGTTTTCCATTAGGTCTATGAGATATTTTAATACTATATATTATCTATATTACAAAGTAACCATTTTTCTACTCAAGGATATTAAGCCACATTTATTTTACTAAATTTTATTATCTTCGTGTTTCACCACCTCTTCAACGTTTATATAGATAATACAAATGTAAAAAGTCAAACAAAATACTACTGACCTGAAGAACTTTACCCTGCGGACTTTCATCAAACACCAGGGACTGTTGATACAAAGGATCAAGAGTTTTTCGTGCAATTCTTGTCTTCTTCTTGGCTATACAGGCTCCGTTTTCCAAAAGATATACTTTGACATATGGAGCTAAGTAAACAAAGACATATTAACATATAAGAACTTAATTCTTAAATTGAATTTATTTTTATTAGAGAATACTTTATTAAAGGAATTGGAGGGGCCAGCAGGTAGTATAGTGGTGAAAGTGCTGAACTCCCACATGGCCAAAAGCAATTCAAGTCCCGAACTTGGTTGCTTGAAAATCATGCCCGGGTACATGTGCATATGTGCTCAGAATCCTGAATGGAGAAAGGAAGGGACTGCAGCCTGGTCATCCCTCATCCGGGGGGGTGATTTCTCACTCTCTCTCTCATGGTCTTTGTCTCTCTCCAGTGAGTGCATGCACCCTAAGGCAAAAACCTAAAAAAAAAGAAAAAAAAAAGAATGGAAGATTACTGAAAGTTTTTCAGAGTATTTAAGACATATAAAATTTTCATTGTCCCATAAGTTCTGTTCCTTAAAACCTATTAACATCACTCATTTTCTTCAGTTCAAGTAACTACAAGGGGGCTTCAAAAAGTTTGTGGAGGGAACCAGCAGTTGGCGTAATGGCTATGTCGCTGGACTCCCATGTAGTCGACCGCGGTTCGCGTCCCGGACCTGGTGGCTTAAAACTCACGCCGGGCGCGTGTGCGTGCGTGCCCAAGATCCCGAGAGGAGAATGGAGGAGAAGGGATTGCGGCGTGACCATCCCCCCTGGGGGGTGATTTCTCGCTTTCTGTCTCTCTGTCTCTCTCTGTCTGTCTGGCGAGTGCACGCACCCTATAGTGAAAAAAAAAAAGTTTGTGGAAAACTAGACTCAAAATGGGAGTTTATTTTGGCACAAAAAGTTTTTGAAGCATATACATTTTTTCATAATACTCATTTGTCATGAGCTTTTGGAAAACACCCCCATGCAAATTTATCTTAAGACTGACTTTAGTCATAGCTGATGTTACAATGCAGGTTTATATCTTAAAGCTCATTGTGTTTCCTTTTTATGATTAAAACTAAATATTTCTTCTTTTGCATTTCTAAATGTGCAGAAAGAAAATAGTTGACATAAGCTGAGAAACTAGCTACACTTTATAAAATATGACAATATCCTTCCTAATACGTTCTGACAGAATAATTGTGCAAAGGAAACCCAGGTCCCTTTTTACAGAATCACAGAACACAAAAAAGTTGCCTTTTTAATCAATCAGATAATATAAAACAGAGCATATACAAATGCAGCGAATATATGAGGAGGTTTTTTTTTTTTTTTTTTTTTTTTTTTTTTTTTTTTTTTTCCGGCTATTTAAAACTCTTGACCACACTCAACAATATTTTCTCTTACCAGGTGTAGATTTGGAGCCGGGTTTCTGTGTGAGGCTTCGTGCTCTGATTACTTCAACTTCTAACTGGCCCTTTTTATCCTCCATTCCAATTTGTATATCACCTGCAAGTGGAGGGCAAGCAAAATGTTTCAGCTTCCAAAAACAAAAGAGGCACAGATGAGCTTCTGAACTATCATCTTAATGATCTTCTTAAACAAGCTAACTATCACCAGAAATATGTCTTCCCATTTCTCACACACACACAGACATAGACATAGATACACAGTTATTAGCAATATATCTAACTTGCCAATCTGATGTTGAAGAAGTTATATTAATTTGCATGTTTTATTATTAGGGGGCTTATGAAGCCCACGTATAGTTTAATATAAAATTAGATTATCAACTAGAATGAATTGGAGAGAGTTCCTGCCTTTTTATTTCTTAAAACGTTTGCTTCATACTTTGCATATCTCTGGCATTGTTAGAACTCATCCAGGAAACTACCTGGTCTAATTTCCTCCCAGTTTTTTTTTTTTTTTTGGGGGGGGGGCAGTTTCTAATACTAATGGTTATAGTTCTATTCAGGATCTCTCTGCCTTCTATTTCTTCTTATACTCTTTTTGATAGTTTATATTTTTTATAATTGTTCATCTCAAATAAATTTCCAAATGAATTTGCATAAGTGGTGGCATTCAGCAACTTGCTTTCTTCATGTAACATTTTCTTAGATATGTATTTGAGGTGACGTACTTTTAATTTTAATTTCTGGGGCCGGCAGGTGGTGTGGTGGTTAAGGGCACTGCACTCTCACATGGCTGACCATGGCATGCACCCTATGACAAAAACCTAAAAACAAAACAATCAAAAACAAACAAAAAAAACCACGTTCCCTCCTACCCCCTCTCTCACTCTGTCCCTCTCTGGTCAAATACAAAATAAATAAATAATATAGACATTAAATAATTTCTACATAATATTTATATAATATTCTATTATGTGAATATGTCATATTTTATTTATCTAATCTCTTAAAGTTTTTTTTTTTTTTTGCTTGCTTTCCTACTTTAGACTATTACAAAGAATGCTGCAAAAAGTGTCTTGAGTATATACAACTAAAAGTGGTTTTGCAGGTCAGAGCTCAAATACGCTTTCTTTTTCATTAGAGACTGATGTATTACCCCTGTTGGTCACTGTACCAGTTAAGCTTCTAACAGGAGTATATGAGGGTGCATATTCCTTAGAGGCTTTGCTCTCTCATTACTGAAAGATTTTATACATTTTGGCCAATCTGATTTATGTTTTGTAGACATTTTATTGGATTAAGGCCCAGTAATGGTGGTATACAGACAGCACCACCACTGGAAGTCTGTAACCCAAATGGGAAGCCTGGGTTCAGGTCCTGAATAACCCTGAACACATGCTAGCTAACCGGGAAGCTGGAGCAGAAGAAATGCAACACGAGGAGACTCTGTTAAAAATCTCTCTCTTGGGGCTAGCAGGTGGCATAGTGGTTGACCAAAGTTCGAGACCTGGACCCAGCAACTTGAAACACACTGGGCACATGTGCATGCATGCCCAAAATCCAGAGAGGAGGATGGAGGAGAAGGGAGTGCAGCATGGCTGTCTCCCTGGGGATGGTTTCTCACTTTCTCTCTTTGTCTCAAATGAGTGTATGTGTCCTATCTCTTAAAAAAACAAAAACAAAACCAAAAACACCTCTGTCTCTCTCTTTTTCCTTCTCTCTCCCTTTCTCCCTCATACAAAAAAGAAAAAAAGTAAAAAGAAATTATCAGATTAACTCCTCCATTTTATTCCTACTTTTCTACATTTTATTTTTTCTTAAATTTTGCCAGAGGGCATGTACACTAGACAGAGAGAAAGAGAGAGAGAGAGAAAGCATAACCCATGGTGGACAGTCATGTCATAATCCCGTTTACATTCTCTCTTTTGGGCATGCATGCACATGTGCCCAGTGTGTTTTTCAAAACTCCAGATCTGGGACTCGAACTGCACAGCTGATTCTGTGGGAACTAGTCTCATTAACCCTTATGCTACTGACTGGTCCACTAAGAGATATTTAAAAATCATAAATTAATACTGAATTGTATTAAATAATTTCTTCTGTATTTGTTAGGATGGTCCTTTTTCTACTAACATGCCAAATTATATTCATTGTTTTTTTGTAATCAAATCTACTATACATTCAAGAAAAAAAAATCTAATTTGGTTGTGATGTTATTTTTAGTACTTCTGGATTTGTTTTGAGATTCACAGAGACTTTTGATAAAAAGGCTTGATATTAATTTTGTTTGGAAATTTCTCAACCATTAAATATATATTTATGCACACACCATAGGGTGTGTGCAATCACCATAGAGACAGTGAGAGGGAAAAGAAAGAAATCACTACATGGGTATGCATGCACATATGCCCAACATTAAAACTCATGTCCAGGACTCAAACTGTGAGAGTCCAGCAACTTAACCATTACGCCATCTGCTGGCCCCTTATTTTTCATTCTCCAACTTTCTTAAAAATATATGCTTGTCATTAATTTCTTTTTTCCTGTGGATTATATATGATTCTTTATCTCCGAAAATATTATTTCTAAATTATTTCCATTTTCTGAGGTATAAATTTTATCAAATGAATAGATCAAGTTTTTGTTCTACTTCTAGATTTATAGTTTTGTTTTAGACTTCAGTCCCTAGAGGTCTCTCTAACTCTATGTTTTAACTTTTAACCTTTAAAAATCATATAAACACATTGTTTAAAGAGCCAGTGTTCTACTGGTATGAATAACTCTTACCCTCTTGTTTAACTTCTTGCCTTTTAAAAGTCAATGCTTTCAATATCTTCAATATTTATATCTGACTATATATGCATGTGTGTGTCTGTATGTGTGTATAAACCTTTTGTTTTTTGCATTATTATTTTTAAACCCTATATGTATAACTATTTTCCTTTTTATAGATTTTTTTATTGACTTCTAATTTTGGTCTTTTTCATTGCTTTCCTACTAACTGTACTACATATCTGGCAATTGCTATCATTCTAGTCTCCTAAAATTAATATTATTATGATCATATAACCTTATTTATAATTGTGTGAATTACAATACCATGATTACATCAAATTTCTTGGGGAGATCTTCCATTTCCCTATATTTACTAATATTCTTTAAAAAGTGTTTGCTTACTCTTTTATGCATGTGTCACTAGTTCAAACCCTTACTTTCTTGGTTGTTTACATCTTCCATAAAATCAAACATGTTATGTATTCTACAAATTTTATCTTATAAAATCTGACATGCTACAATTTGGACAAATGTTTTTCAAATCTCGCTGCAGCTATTATCTTAGATCTTCCATCACTATCATTTCTGTCTTGTGAGGAGGCATTTACTTCCCAGATTTCATCTGTTTCTTTCTTTGGAGGAGAAGGGATTGTGGCGTGACCATCCCCCCTGGGGGGTGATTTCTCGCTTTCTGTCTCTATGTCTCTCTCTGGCGAGCGCACGCGTTCTATAGTGAAAACCTCTCCAAAAAAAAAAAATTCACTTGTTAAAGTAAACATTACAGGAGCCTCCTGAGCAATACTGGCCATGAGGAAGATGTCTTAAGACCTTGATGTTCTGGTTAGGTATTTTTCTAGCCTTAAGCTTTCCTTATAGCTTGATGGCTATTGTATTCTAGATTGGAAATCGGTTGTGACTCGGGATTTTGAAGGTAATGTGTAAGACTATTATTTATTATTACTGAAGAGTACAATAAAACTCTGAAGAGCCCAATCAGAATCTGATTTTTGATAGTTTTGAATAGAATTATTTTTCCTCTTAGAAAATCTGGAAGATTTACTATCAGTTCCCAGGGTTGCCCTCATGTCTATTTTAATCCATTTTGCTGGGTATTCCATGAGTCCTTTTAAGCTGTGAGCTCATGTTTTCCAAGGAAATGTACTGATATTACAAGTACTATCTATAATTGTTTCCTGTTTATGTCTTACTTTTACTAGAAGTTTATTTGTTTGTGTTATTAAAAGCTTATTTGCTTATGTATTTAATGAGAGAGAAAAAGAGAGACAAACAAGACACACTGGTAACTCTTGACAGGGTCTTGCCATACCAAGATCCACCTCAAACAGGGCCAGCCTTCCAGCCAGCCAGAATCATGGGCATGTGTCCAGTGTGTTCAGGTCAACTCAGGATCCAAACCCAGGGCCTCTCCCACAGCTTCAGTGTTTTGCAGTGGTGCCCTAAGCCCATCATCTTCTTTTATCTTCATTCAAGGTCTATATTACTAGTTAAAGTTTTCACTTATTTTAGCTTGGTTTGACCTTTTGAATGTTTTTCCTACTCCAAGATTTTAGAAACATTAATATAAGTGTTTCCCAGTACTTTTTTATGCCCACAAACAAAACAACTTTAATAGATATTATTTTGTATTCAAGAACCTTAAATGCTTTGCAAACATTGTCTCTAATTAATCCCCACAACAACCCTGTGAAGTAGGTATGACTCCCATTTATAAGACAGGGAGACTGACGCACAGAGAGGTTAAGTGACTGGCCCAAGGTCACAGAATTAAATTCACTGAAGAGCCAGGACCTGAGCGCCTTAGCCTCGCAGCTCCCAGACAAATACCTCATAAGAGAATCTTTAATAAAAAGTATCTTTAAACAAACAAACAAAAATATGGAAAGCTTCACAAACTTGCGTGTCATCCTTGAGCAGGGGCATGCTAATCTTCTCTGTATCATTCCAATTTCAGTATATGTGCTGCCAAAGCGAGCACTTTCCCAGTACTTTTTAAATGTTTTTTTCCACCCTTCTTTTTTTATAGTTGAGTCTACAATATTAATTTTTTTTTAAGTTGTGAAGTAGGAAAACAATTCGATATCTTTTTTTTTTTTTTTTTTTTTTATGTTTGACAATCGGCGCAACCAC